ATAATTCATTACTTATTTCAACATGAAAAGTATTTCTTAAATAATTTTTATAGAAGTAAAATCTGTGCTCATTTTAAATTATTTTTTGATTTACTCAGTAATACTGATTTTTGTTTAGCAGTTTCATATAATAAAACCAACGTATTACGTTATCAATCCATCTCGCTCTTTCTACATTTAAAATTTTCACGAAGTTTAACTTAGTCGGATTTACTGCATCAATTTCAAGAAAATCGCATTTTTATGACCCAACCCCCCCCCAAAAAAAAAGATAAAAGATGTAAAGCAAATAATTTTTTTATAAAAATATTTGAAAATTTCTGCTTTGAATTTTAGATATTGGGGGTGGTGTATGTAAAATTTTGTTGAAAATTCTTTTTTGATACAAGTTCTCTATGTGTTTCTATATAAGCTACTAAAAACAAACTAGCAAATTATGTAAGAACGTGTACCTGATCTGTCTATTGAGTCAAAATTGTGTGCAGCTACATAGTAAAAAGTGTACTCCTTCAAGTGCATTTTATATTAATATCTTAAAAATTCTAAATTAGAAAGCTTTACAAGAATTTATTTCTTTCCGAACAAGAAACATATTAGATAAAAGAAGTTTCCATTTTCTAAATCTTGGAAATATCTAAAACTGCTTGCTCTAAAACCTTGTACAAACCATTTCCATAATTTGTATGAGACTTAAGTATAAAGTACAAATTCACATTCATTTACAAATAAGTTTGATCGACTGCTCGAAAGTTTTACAATACAAAAGCATATGTTTGTAATTTCAAGGTTATAAACTTAGTACACATATAAACAAATATATTTTTATATAATGCTTGGAATTCAATATAAGTTTTTAAATAACTTAATAAAAATATTTACATGCTTCTTGAGTGCGATATGTCTGTACAAATGCACATAATATTAAAAAGTAATCAAGCTTTGGTTATGTAGCACAAAACTAACAAAAAATTAAATAAAAATAGTCACACAATGAAAACTTGACTTCCCAGAGTTACAAGATAGACAAAATTAACAGCAAAATATAATACATAATTTATTATAAATCCCTAATCTTTTTTTAAAATAATATTTGAGATTACAAGCCTTCCACATTTCTGCGCCCGTTAGTCTCATATATATGTTACTGCAAATTTTAATAACATAGACTGGGAACATTTTTAGAAGTACTATAGGTACAACAAATTAAATGCATTTATATTTCTTAAAGAGCATTTTTTATTCATTTAGCACTTGAGCATTTGCAGTTAAAAAATAATGGCAAGAAAGAAGTTAGTAGAATGGCATTATTCCTTAGATTTAAACTCCTTTATAACTTGAATGTAGAAAGCATTTCATTTATTTTATTACACATTACTTAGAAAATATTAACATTTAAGAAAATAACTTTCTTGACTCAAGTCCTACAGCATTGTGTATATATATATAAAAATAGCAGTCATCAAAACTGAAAAACACAGTCCTTTCATTAACATTTTCAATAGTATTCGAACTATAAATGGAGGACATACATTAAAATACTTGACCACAGACATAACTTTCACATCTTCACAATATACAACCAATTATATAATATATTTCGGGACTTATAACAACACGATCCATATAACAGTTACAATATTAAGTCTACCACATAATGCATACCCGTTTTAAATATACCCGCAATTATATTTTGATTATCATTTCAGTTCACTGAACTTGAAAACTATTTTTAACACTGTATTTATTTATTTATTTGAAAAAATGCAAACTACTTTCTTCGTTTCTAGTTTTGCTATATTATCAAGTTTTTTGTAACTTCATTTTAAGCTGAGTTTAAAGCAAAAATTTCACAGTTGTACTTCCATATGTTTTTACTTTCTTTCATGTTAAGAAATATACGGAAACTTTTTATTATGTTGCAATAATAAATTATCAGCATGACAAATTACACAGTGACGTAAAAGTTATTCTTTGAAACTACAGAAAACTCATTGCTAATTAAGGAATTATGAAAATTCCTACAAATTCTTTTCGAGTTGGTTACATAGGAAGCTTGGAAGTAATCCCAAGCATAATCCAGAATTATATGACCTCGCTTATATATTTTTTGTGCAAAAATACCGATTTTCTTTTTAGCGCAAATTCATTTGAATGAAAAAATAAATTTGGTATCAGGCTAAAAACAAAGATTTGGAACTGGAATGAAGTAACTACTCCAAATTTAAAATGCTTACCTAAAAAAGTTAAATTTTTATTTCTTATCAATATGTAAATTAAGCTGCAAGCTGTGTTTGTCTTACAATTGATATCTGCATAAAATTTCATTAATATCGAACTACAAAAATATTACATTATAGTTAAGATGATATCTATCTGGTGCATACATACATTTACATACATGGATTACATGATACTAGACTTTGATTTTATTTTTTGATTATTTCTTATCATTAGCTACATCTCCCTTGCATTCCATTGCGAGGAATGTGAAACAATTCCAGAAGCGAGAATTTATAAAAATAGAAGACATACACGCGGGAAGGGCAGAACTCCCCCAGTTTTACCCCATAATAGTAACTACCGCTCGGCATGTCTCTTCACATAAAGGCACAAACCCTGACGTCCTGCTGAATAATACATGAGATTGAATTGAGAGTGTTTAATCGCTCGTATGATTAGAAACGCATCCTAAGGATAATAAAACTATTATCATAACCCTCAAGTCAAGATGTTTCTCTCTTGTCAAGCGACATGTTTTCCATGCTCTCCCCCGCTTGCGTTATCGCAGATTCCAAACTCTTTTGAAGAGGAGAGCGAAGAGACTGCTAAAATAAAAAAGCATGCATAGTGATGTCCTGAAGTTGGTTTTTAAACTTGTAAATCTGTGGGAAACGTACAATGCACTTAATTTGAATACAGATACGTGCTTTCTTTCAATAACGTAGCCTTTATAGAAGCGTCGAGAGGGGCAATGCATTAAAATTTCAAGGGAAAGGTGAAAATTTATAACATCTTCCATTCAAATACACACGCACACTTATATATATATATATATGTAAAAAGAGGTCTGATTAATATTTTCATAAATGAATATATCTGAGACATTTCCTTATTTATAATTGTACACCTTTATTATTAAGACTGAAAACCCAGTAATTTTCTTAAAAAAATAAGGAAAAGAAAAAAATACTACCTATTATTAAAACAACTTAAAATAACTAAAAAGTGAAAAAAGACTAAAATAACTAATAAAAGAAAACATAAATCCTTTCATAGGTACTTGCTCTCAGATTATATAATATTGCAAATTTTACTGGCTGCTCTTTCCCACAATCAGAATATATATATATAATCTATATATTCCAGTCTCTCTTTCCCTATATATATATATATATATAGATTGGAAGTTGATGTGGAAACAGATAATCCGACCAACCATCCATGATGATGAGAATGCCCATTTTACTGTTTTATACACATAAGGAAGGATAGCTGAAGAATTATAATACTTTTGTTCTATGATAAGCAGCCAGGTGAGATGAAAGGGGATGCATGAGAAAATAGTCCCATTTAAACATCATTACTGCTAACGGCAAATATGAGTATTTTTTTAGGGGACAATACAGTATAGAAAGAAAAGGTGAAGTAATTCATGCATACCTCATTTTTCGTGTCACCGATTTCAGTAATTCTCTTGTCTGGCGCGAGTTTCACTGAGCATCAGAATAAAACTGCGACTTGAAACAGAGGAGTAATAAGAATGGATCTAAACGGGTGCCTAGCCTGTTCAGTCAAAGAACAGGAAAAGGGCAAGAATTCCCGACTAAACGGCGAGACAGATCGGTTTCAAATAGTGAGGATCATAAAACCATCAAGCTGTTGGTCTTTCAAATGTCAAAAGTTTCTGCTGTGATGCCGAAAGGCAGGTGATATCTGTCGCCCTGAACCTAAAGGCAAAAGGCTCATTGTCAACCCCTGAAACAACAGAAGGAGAATCGCCTCTCAGTAGAGAAAGGGTAAGAGTTTGAAAAAGAGTAATGGTTTTTGAAACGTCGGTGCAGAAAACGTTCTCGGAGGTGGGTGTGGAAAACCCGTATGGGTGTTCTCGCAGCAATAGACCCCTCTTTGATGGAAATATGGTAGCCCTACGAGTCCAGGAACCCCCTCCAGAAAAGCTGAAGATTAGAGTATCTCCGAAACTTTTCATGTCGTAAATTGAAGGTTTCGGACAGAAAGGGGTGGAAAAGGTAACATCTGGGGTTCACGGACGTTTGACTTTGACAGCCGTCACCAATGCACCAGTTGTGGAATGCCAGTCAAGGAAGGGTTAGAAGCTAAAAAAAATGACTTTTTGAGATTAATCTTTTTCCTTTTTTATCATTGCACCTGGATGTAAAAGAGATTAATTTAAAAAGGACTAAAGGTGTTCCTGCTGTAGGAGATTTTCACTCTTTTCATTTCGATTCCATTTTAAGACATGACAACTTTATTACCCATCCATATTTTTGCAAAGATGTTGAATAAAACTCGGAAAGCCCTTGCACCATTTGTAGCATAAAAAGTAATTTTGAAATACATATTATATATATATATATATATAACATAAATTTGGATATTTGCTTATACTTTTCTGAGGTTTTCGTGAATTCTTCCCCAACTTGGTATATCACTTTTTCCTTACATAAAAGAAGAAAATCTTATTTAAACACAAAGGAATAGTAAAAGTAGTTTCTATTTAATAATTTTAAAAATTCTTGTCTTTAAATTCAGCATTAATCTCCCAAAGTTTATTTCTAAAAACTTAATTTTTGCTTATTTAGAGTTTCGCATAGGCAGATTTTTACTGCAGCAAAGAAGTTTTCAGAAATGTAGTTTTTAGTGCAAAACAAAAAAGAATAACAAGCATAAAAGTGATTAAATTGTCCTTCGCTCTAAACTATTTCTCTGTAATTTTTTTCTTTCGGTTATATTTCAGTGGATAGTTTTTTTTTTTTTTTTTTTTTTTTTCTGCCTTTTCTTTTTTTTCCTGACAAATCAATAAATTGTTATACGTTTTGTCCATTACATTTCCAGGTAACTGTTTAAATAAATATCAGTATACTTTAATAAAGTTCGTATTTTTAAAAGAATTAACTTAATTATGGACTAGAATATATGCAAATTTTTACTCAGCTTTTCTCTCTTTTAGTAATGATTTTGCATAAATGATGCTTCACGAACGATGTAGTCTTACACGAGTCCTGCTTACCATTTCTATGCACATCACAGAATACTAATAACATTAACTGAAAATTTCCAGAAACATTTCAATCTGAGTATGACAAAAACCTGCAGTGTTATAAAAAAACAAAGCAATCTAACTCATATTGCTAATGATATGAACATTGCCAATGGAAGAGTATGTTAAGTAATTAAAGATTCTCGCTGATGGTGAATAAAAAGAAGCCCTTCTTTAGTTTGGAGTCTGCGGTGACTATGGTGCTCATTGATATTCATAGCACTTTCTTTGGCGTGAAGTGATTCAGGAACATCTGATGAATTGCTATTTTGATTATTAATTTGATTGATAGGACTAGTCATGGAACTAGAAGTTGGTGAAGGAAATTTATTCTCTTTTTTGGCTTTCATGCGCCGATTCTGGAACCAAATTTTGATTTGTCTTTCTGTAAGACCCAGTGTGTGGGCAATTTCAATACGGCGTCTTCTAGTTAAGTACCGGTTGAAGTGGAACTCCTTTTCTAGTTCAAGAGTCTGGTAACGAGTATATGTTTGGCGACTTCGTTTTGGACCCGGATTAGAATCTGAAAGTAAAAAAAAAATATATATATATATATATATATAACTTAATTATAATTATTTGGCAAGCTATAAATAACATATGCAACACTGCATAATAAAAACCGAAACTGTTATGAGCACCCAAGTCTCTAATAGTATCATTTCATTCAACATTTTACCCAGTTCCTTAAAATGGCACTTTTAACATTTTCCATGAAGCAATCAATTCTAAAATATATTTATTGATACACACGTATATGCATACGTATGGAAAAATAAAAGATATAATCTTTTTCATTATATCTTTTAAAGTCTATACTTTAAAAGATATAATGAAAAAGAGTTATAAAACTGACTTTTCAAAACTGTATTAGTTTATATATACTATTACTATTAGTTATACACACTATTTCAAAACTATGAACCTCTAATAGAATTTCTTGTTTCCTCAGTTAAGCCGCGTTACATTTAAACGACTCTAAAATGATAAGAGGGTAATAAATTCTAAGGGTTACTTTTCTAAAACGCTTTACGAAATGTATTTCAAAAGAGTTGACATCAAAGATAGGATTCCATGCGAAAATCGTCCGTTAGGAAAAGACAAAAGAATGTTAGAGATTTCTAACAATCAACTCCGGTTCATTGTAGAAGCACAATACCGTGGTGCATCTAACAGAATGTACCCAGCAGAACAAAGGGAAGTAATGAACTTCATTAGTTTACTTAATCAATCCGTCTTCTAACTTTATCCCCAACTCGTGTATCTTGATTTTAAGACGAGAAGCGGGAGGTCGATAGTGTGGTTGCTTCGGCGTTAGCTTGCTGTTCTTAGACTTTTCTTTAAATAGGGAGTCTAGTATATCGAATACAGATTATTTATATTGAATGAATTCTTTCAGATTCTAAAACAGATGTAAATCCTTTCTTCACATTATTTGAAGGCAAGAAGTTCTAGGAGCATTTTTTTTATAAGAAAAGTTTGAAATGTAAAAGTAAGTGTCTGGCAATAAGAAGTATTTTGCACTCTTTAAAAAATTAATCTGAGTTGTAATTAATTGAGCAGGAAATGCTTGGTATGAAGTAAGATGGGAAACATCTTTCGAAAGCTAGAAATGAAAATATCGACCAAATCTCTAAGAAGTTTTCTCATTTAAAATTTAAGATTTCGAAAAAAAATTGAAAATTTTTGGTAGAAATATCAGAGCCTGCAGTAGTAATTCTGATATTTTGAGTTAGGCAGCGAGTGGAGTGCACTTTCTTTTCATATTTAAGAAATATTAGGGTTCCTGCGAACATTTAAAATGATTTAAGCTCTAAGGCTGCCATTTATTTTCATAGACAATAATTTGATGATTGCACTGCAAATCTTAAACTTTAATGATAAACGAATTTTTCTGTTTGAAATATCAGAAGTTCATAAAAGTAGGAACTTTTGATATTTCTCTTTAAAGATACGTGCTTGTTTCTATAAAACTATTTCCCCAGTTTTACACAGAAATATCTTTCAACAGCTAAATTAATTAATCCAAATGTTCTTCATGAGTGAAAATATAATTGTTAAATATAGGAGCTGTTGCTCGCAAAGTACACTTTTGGAAGAAAGTTATTGTCGTTTTCTACCTCTTTTCTTAATGTAATTAAGTATGATAGTACATGCTTAAATTTCGAAAATCTGTCGTAAAGTTATATTTGCAGTTTGAGATTAATTGTATGATAGTAAACCTGAATGTCTGAAAATAAACAACTGTGAGCATTAGAGAGAGGAATGAAAAAAATATTGATGTGAAAACATATGCTTGTCAATGTAGCGGTCCAAGAATAATCCTAGACCAGAGCATCAACCGGGATCTCGGATAAATGATTCAGGGTTAATTAAGTGAATAAATTAAAATTCATTCAGATTAGTGGCATTCGCTTTCATCCGAGTTAAGTTAAGCTAATAATACTTTTAGAATTGCGAAAAAAAAGTATGCATTTCCAAACAGTAGTTGAGGAAAATGAGTCCATATTATGAAAATAATGATTGAAAAATATTAATTCTAATATATACATTCCGCATTGTATATATTAGAATTTTTTTAAATTTTAGGTAGCTCCTGCATTAAATATTCCATAAAATTCAAACGCGCATTTGCCAATAATTGTGCAAAATTTGTTGAATTACTAAATTTTTTTAAGGTAAAAATTCATACCTGAACGAAACTATTTAATGGTAACAAATGCAGCAATTTAGTACTAACTATACAATATCTTTAATAGTAAGATGACGACTTTCTTTATAGACTCATTTCGCTACAAATTTCAAACCACGCAGTTTATTTTCTTAAAAATGCTTTAGTTTCTTTCTTTTAAAGTAAATAATTGAGAATTAAAATTTGCCTATAGCCTGTTGAAGATAAAAGAATACATTTTTCTATCACTTGCTTAATGGCAATGCTGTTCAGATTCCACTGAAGGAATAACGATTTTAGAGCAAAAAAACTGTCCCTTAGTTCCGCATATTCAAAATCACAAGTTACCTTTACACCGGAAGACTTTCAGCTCCATGATGACAATAGACTCAATCAAAAATTTTGCCTATGTCATCTATTTTCATCTGCATCTATACGTACACATACATAGACGTGTTCTTTATGTATGTGAAGAGAAAGAGACTAAACCAAAAACCCGTTAGGAGTAAATTTGCAACTTCATTTTAACATTCTTCACAAGTTCATTTATTTTCCTTATGAGTAAGGTTAATTTGATGGCAGCAAAACACACATGGGCTTTCAAGTCCTGTGAAAAGTGTTTCCAGCAGGTTCCCTTCCTTCTGTATCTTATTTACCCTGCAAACGAAGAAAATCACAAAACAATTCGGGCATTCTTCGTCCCCTGAGAATATGTGACTCCAGTACCTTATGTTCAATTGTTTAACCCATTCATGTTTCTTACAAAAGTGACATAAATATGTTGTATTCATCTAAAAAAGATATTATGAATCATATTGAAAATATATTCCAAAAAACGCGCTTCTATTCCGCATTGTATATATTATGATAAATGGAGATCATGAAATCTGTCACTGGAACTCCTTTTAGTTCTTGATTATCTTGATTTGGTGTCTTTAAATTTTATTATTCTCTCTGATACTGTTAATGATAAGGTTTGAACTTTTTCAGCTAGCATATAACGAAGAAATCCCAAATGAAATGACCTACCGAAGACTTGGTATGAACATTCCCTAGATTACCTAGTACACAATTTAACAATCTTCATTTTTATGCAGTTAATCACATAAAGCATTTGCATACGTACATGCTTCATTTTGATACATGAACATACTTAATCACTTGTTTTTGATTTTTTGTTTCGATTCATAAAATGTATGTACTTATTACTATGAAATTACGTGTATAGGAGTAAAAAAAACTTTCTCAGTTTTGAGTAATAATGGAAAGAGATAAAAATTAGATTTAAGAAATACAGAATATTTTCTCTAAAATTAATCACTTTTTAACACGATTATCCGCTTTTTATTTTACTCTCCATAAACAGATAGTACATCGAAATCCCAGCTCTTGATAATTAAGAAATCTTAATTAATGGTAAGAACATTCCATTCAGTTCCAGTGAATTAATTATGCCGCATCTAGATCATCAATTTACATCATCTTAACGACATAACATTTTTATATCACCTTAATGAGGTAAATCAAGCATAAAACGAATATAGTTATAGGTAAATGTTTTTCTAGAAGTATAGATGTTAAATGGCCCAAAATCTGGAAACATTTTCTAGCATCGTGAAAAAACTAAACTTAACAACAACAACAAAAAAAAAAAAAAAAAAAAAAAAGTAGAATAAAGATATTTTTAGCATCTAACTATAATTATAAATATATCTGTTTTCGGCGCCTTTTCTGACAAATTTAATAAATATGTTTTTTCCATTACTAGAAATGAGCCTCAGATGGAATGCTTCGTATCTAGAATTACAGTAGAGACTGGTCTTTTTTCTTATTATTACATATAATCTCATAGCTGATATACCAAATTATTCAAAAGAATGCTTCATAAATACTGTTTGCAATTTATATATAGCAACTAAATTCAATAGAACTGTTTGCATAAAATATTACTCATTTGTAATCTGAATGCGAATCTGATATATATGACACGCTGATGAGAGTTTTATTGATTATGAAAGAAATATTTACTCATGAAAATAACTTTGATTGTTCTGAAATCCGCAACCGTCGTTTTTGGTTAAACTGTTTGGTTCATTAGGAGATTTCGGATTTCAACGAAATCTTATTATTTTGCTTTCTAGTTCAAAGAAGGGAAGATTGATGTATCGATCACAGATCTTCTTTCTTATTGCAGCCATGCCATTCCCAGAATTCTAGTGTCTCATTTCAATCAATTAATTTTCATGAGTTTATCCGACGTTCGCAGTCTTTTCCGAGAGTTACAGTTTATTTGGAGGATTTGGGGAAAGCTTCTGCCTATTACTTTACCCAAATTAAATTATAATGAAGATTTCAAATGTCATTGTTGAAAATAAGTTTTAAAATAAATTAATTCAAAATGTGGCTCAAGTTGTTGAATTCTCTATAAATTTATTTTTGAAATGATAGGTCACAAGTCTTCTGCTCAATATTGGCTCAATTATACACCATTTTTGCTAGCCTCCTCCTTTCTATATTAATTTTACAGCTTAATATAAAGAAAAGAAAAATGCTGTTTCTGAAGAAAAAGACCAAAGAAAGAACTCATCATACTTGAAAGCTTATGCACATATATATACATATACATATAATATTTAATTATAAAATTAAGAGTACCTAAATTATATGTAATAAAGCTTGAAGGGCACGCCATACATTAGGGAAAAAATTATGTAAGTACGCTATAGGATGTCTGCAAGTTTCCTTACTTAAACAAAGAAGAATCTTTACAAGATATTATCTAGTTTATGACGATTTGCTTTCAGAGGAAAAAATTTTGCATGACGAAAGAGATAATAAAATTATAAATAAGA